TCCATCTCTACAAATAAGATAAAAAATATCCACCTCACAGCATTGCTCTGATAAAAAAAAGAAAAGAAAAACTGTGTGGTCTTTAACTTACAATAAGACTATAAAATATTCACAGAAGAGTTAATGCAATCTACTTCATAAACTCTGAATTGTACAGACAAATGAAAAAAATACAGAAAAAGCTCTTTTCTGCCTTAAGTCTGACTTAAAATAAATGTTTTAATTTTACCTTTTAAAACCTTGATAAGATTTTGATAAATGACTTAAATGACTCCATGTCACTACAACAGGTATTTAGGGAAGTTCTACTGCAGGATTTTCTGTCTAATATTCTTCAGGGAGCATATAGAGACTATATAAATCATACACTTGGCCATTTCCAAAAATAACATGCACTTCTCGCTTCATGCCGCTAGATGGCACACTTACACATAACTAAACCAGGGGATTTGCATGAGGGAGGAAATGAGGCTGTATTAAAATAAGCTTTGTGAAATCAAGACATCCATGACATTTGAAATGGAGAAAGATGGCTAGTATCTGGAAAACCAGATCTTTTTGAGTATTAGGAAATGATTTGGGAAATTAACCATTCAGCCATAGTATGATGTATTAATGTCCTAGGGGTATTACATAGTAAAGTACCACAAATCGGGTGGCTTAAAACAGCAAGAAGGTACGGTCTCACATTTCACAGTTGTGAAGGCCGGACGTCCGAAACCAAGGTGGCAGCAGGGCTGGTCCCTTCCTGAGGCTCGAAGGGAGAATCGTCCTAGAGTTGGGTGGTTGCAACGATCCTTCACATTCCTTGGCTTGTAGACGCATCACTCCCATCTGTCTCGATCTTCACATGGCCTTCCCCTCTGTGGACTTTCATGTCTACACCCAGCTGTGTTGTAAGGAGACCAGTTACTGGGTTTAGGGCCCATCCAAACTTAGCGTGACTGAACCTTAACTACTTAAATCTGCCAAGACCTCTTTTCCAAATTATGTCACATTCTGAGGTTCCAAGTAGGCATGAATTCTGGGGCGACACTATTCATCCCACTACACAAGCAACACCCGAGCTGAGCAGCCAGGCTTGGAGTCCAGTTCCACCACCACTGAGCTGTGAGAGGCACAAAGGAGTTATGTAACCTGCCTAAGCACTGTGTCTTCATCCTGTAAAACAGGAATGAGGACAGTGTGTGCCTCATAGCCTCATTGTGAGGATAAAATAAGGTAATATATGGAATATGCTTAATGCCTGGCACATAATAACTGTAATAAATATTAACTATTACTGTTGTTATTGTTAATATTGCAATTCTAACACAGGGCCTTCCAGCTTATGTTTCCACCAGTCTGAAATAAGGGAGTCTCTGGTCCCAGTCTGACAAAATGATGAATAGGCCAATAATGCATTTCAAAGACCTGGCCTGGTTTCTGTACTCTCCGCTCTGGGAAAGGGCCCAGAGCTCCTGAGGCTTTATTCTTTATCATGTATTTATTTGTCCTGCTGGGTCTACTTTCCAAAAAGGCTTTGTGATGGCAGCATCCTTGTGTTCTCTCCCTGCTTTCTCAGGGCCTAAATGTCCCCAGAGAGGGTCTGTACCTGGAAGAGCTAAGGGGCTCCGCAGTGTTTTATCAAAGGTACCATTAGGGGGTGAAGAGATGCAGCTGGCTGTCCATCCTGAAGCAGAAACGGCTTGGGACAGGACAGCTGAGTCCCCCATGGGCACGTAGAAGGAGAGGGCCTGGTAATCTGGGCAGGACAACAGAAATTGTGACAATATAGTCACACTTGGAGACCAAAGCCAAAATGGATCTGGTGAATAAAAACGACTCTGCAGGGGAGGAGTCCCCCAAGGCCCTCAGGAGGGAAGGAGTCCAGGGACTGCCTGAGAACCAGCTGGTTGGAAGGAGAAAGGTTCTCAGACAGGAGTCAGTACTGAAGAGGCAGAGGGCAAGAAGGAAGAGTGAGTTTCTCGAGCCCCCAGGCTCAGTGGAGACACAGACCCTCAGAGCCCCCACCTGCATGTCCCCAGGGCCCCTCAACTTCCACGCTCCAAGAGCAAACTGTCACCCGTCCCAGAGACCTGCTCTGGCTTCTGCATTCCCCTTCTCAGAGAAAGGCCCTCAGGCTCACCAGCCAGAAGCCCATAGTCATTCCAGAGCCCTCCCTCGCCCTCACGTGGGCTCAGCAACTCCAGAGTCACAGGAAACACTCCCTCTGCCGGTGCCTCCGCCCTTACCAGCAGAACAAAGTCTTCAGCACGGAACACTAGGCCTTCATTACCTGACCCCTGCCTGACTTTCCTGTCTCACCTGGTTGGCCCTCCACAGGCACTTAAACTCTCTCTGTGAAGAACATACATGACTGCTGCATGAATGTAGGAATGAATAAATGCATCGCCCCCAACAGGAGGAGGTTTAAAGTTTCCAAAGGGGTAAGATTTATTCACAAATATTTTGCTATCAAAGTCTACTGTGTAATAAAACACTTTGGGGTTTTCTTGTTAGAGTATGAATATTGAATTTTGTGAATTTTGAATTGTGAATTTTCTAGTCTGTTGTGAATTGCAAGAGTAGAGATTAAATCTTTCTCAGTCCTAGCATAGTAGGGGGATCTGAGACCACAGAGGAGGCAGTGTGTGCAGGAAGGAGGCAGGTGAGGGACTAAAGCTGATGTGTGGATAAAGCCTGTTGTAAAAGTCTGGGAGGTGAATCCCAGAATGCGTTAAGTCAGATGAGAGACGAAGTTATCAGCCCCACAGAGCAAGGGCAGACATCAATTCACATGGAAGTTCCACATGGGTCCTGAGCTGTCTATCTCCAGTGTTCATATGTTGAAGCCCTAATCTGCCAGTGTGACTATATTTGGAGACAGGACCTATAAGGAGGTAATTAAGGTTAAAGGAGGCCATAAGGGTGGAGCCCTAGCCCAGTAGGATTACTAACCTTATGAGAAGAGGCAGAGACACAGGGCGCCTCCTTCCTTGCACGCTCCCCTCTGCACACGAAGGGCAGGCCACGTCAGTACACAGCAAGCAGGCATCGCCCGCAAGCCAGGGGAAGAGCTCTCACCAGGACTGAGTTTGCACACCTGGAGCTCTGACTTCATCTTCAGTGTGGGCTGTTAGAATTGAGTACCATGGACTGGGTGGCTTATAAAGAACAGGAATGTATCCCTGGGGGCTGGAAGACTGAGTGCAGGGTGCCCGCAAAGTTGGGTGCAGGCCTTTCCCAGGGTGTTTGCAGACTGCCAGCTTCCTATTACATCCTCACACAGTGGAGCTAGCTTTCTGGCCTCCTGTAAGGGTGCTCACCCCATACATGAGGCCTCCATCCTCATGACCCTGTTACCTTCAAAAGGCCCCAGCTTCTAATACCATCACATTGGAATCAAGGTTTCAACATACAAATTTGGTGGGGACACAAACATTCAGTCCACTGTGGACTTCTAGCCTCCAGGACTGTAAGAAATGTAAGGCCTGTTGTTGAAGCCACCAGTGGAGTTCTGTGATGGCAGCCCGAGCCGACTAACACAGGTCCCTCTGAAGGACCAGGCCCTGCCCTGTGCTGGGTAGGACTCTGGTCTTTCTTTAGAAGACACGGCGTGATGGCTGCGGAAGACAGCGCCTGACAAACGCACACACTGGGAGAAAGAACCATCTACAGCTGTGGAGGCTGGGGCATCGCCCACACGAAGCGAAGGAGGAGCTATGGAGGCCATCCGTAATCTGGGTGTCTCTCTGAGGAAGAATTAGGGTAATTTTTGAAGTTCAGACATCAAGATGGCCGGTCACTGCATCCCTAAATGGTTGGTTTCCAAGCATCTGTCTAGGATCTTTCACTTATTCTTCACCCATTTGCTGGCTGACCTGTACCGGGCTGCTTCTACTTCAAGATTAGCAGCCTTGTTTACCTCCATGACCACGAGGCTTCTTGATTCTATTTATGCTCCGCTTTGGAGATTTGGGAAATGAGAGCCACCGTGACACCAGGCATCTCTGGGTCCCTGAAATGTCTGAGAAGTGAATGAATGCCATCCTTCCCTCTTTTCAGAGAGAGGCCTTTAACAAAATTATTGCTTATACTCCATGAAGAGGCAATTAGGAATATTGCTCCCTCCCATCAATCTTTTTGACTATGTCCCCCACCCACTTTTAATCCAAAAAAGAACTTATTTATGTGTCGGCTAAAAGTTAATGAAGCCAGATATTAAAACGTTTTTAAAACCTGTGTTTGGTCATTCAATACACAAGTGTCTGCCCTCACAAGTTCCTCAACGGTGTACACATAGAAATGGAGCCTGCAATTAAATCCATGTGTGCAGAAGATTGGAAACAATCTTCTCTCTGTCTATGAGTAGTGATGGCACTTGGCTGGCCACCACTAAAAGCATGTATATTTTCCATTGAAATTCACTGGAGCCATCATTTCTGTATTTCTGCATCATTGCAGGAATCTTACATCATTGCAAAAGTATTGACAATGGGCTCATATGTTCCATGTAGACACTTGCACCAAAATAATTAACAGACCATCACATAAACTTCAAGGAATGTTACCTGCTGCCTTGCACTTAATGTGGGTAGACTTGCCATGCAATTAAACCACCAAATTTGGGGTTCAGGCCTCAGGATGATTTGTGCAGATTTTAGCACTTACAGTACGAAATCTGTGAGCCCCAGTGTGGTAGAAAGCCCCCCTGTGTCAGTAGCCTTAGAACCTAGCCCTCCTCGGCCATTGACTGATCCAACTGGATCTCCTTGAGCAGCTCTCAGTTCTCCTGGCTACAGAATCTTTGAGTAATTAATTAAAACAAACAAATGTTAAATTACCAGTCATTATTTACAACAAACTAAATTTATGCTGAAAATCTTATTTCTTGGAAATTTCTCTTCAGAGTTAAAAACACAGAAACAATGTACTAAGGCAAAATTTAGCTTTTTATACAAATACAGAAATTGTAGAGAAAATTGGACACATTTACTCATTAAAACTGAAATCCATACCTCTGAATTATGTGCTGGCAATATCAGTGGGATTCTTGACTGCATTTCTCACCTTGAACCACGAGGGGTCTTGATTTGAGTTCTTTGACAGAGAGCAGAGCAAATGGCTGTGCAACAGAAAGTAAAGAGGCATTTTTTCCTGGTGTCCCAGACTTGTGGCAGAGGCTCAGACCAAGAACAAAGGCACTAAAGGATGTTTCTTGGTTAGAGATCTGATATCATCAGCCCTCAGTTGGAGCCTGTAGCCGGGCATGCAGGCTCACAGGCTGTTCCCAGAACCAACTTGACCTCAAAGGCATGCCACCTCCCTGTCACATTAGACATGAAGTGGGAAGAAGCCTGTCCTTTGGGAGAATGCAGTGCCCAAGGAGTCAGGCATTATTTACTCTCCGAAGTCAAGTGAGGCGGTTGCAAGGGAAGCCTTTTATTAAGATGGAGTGTCTGCAAGAAACTGGAGAGCAGTTCACTCCCTGGACCATGTCTGCTAAGCCCCAACTTGCTGCTCTACCCCCCATAGGGGACAAGAGAAGTGAACTGGGGCTGGAGAGGGGAGAGCAGCGGAGTGGCCCACACTTCTCCGTTGTCAGAGACAAGGGCACCAGGTCTCCTCGAAGATGGACCGGTCATCTCAGACAACAGCTGAGCTGAATGCTGTTTGGGGGCTGAGGGGTGTGGTGGAGGAGGCCTGGCAGGAGCAACCCCACCCCCTCCTCAGGGCAGCAGGGAGTGCCAGTGTGGGACAGCCTACAGCAGCAGCACCCGCAGGAGAGGCAGTGACCCCGGCCAGCCAGATGCAGGGAGGCGTGGGACTGGCAGCCTGAATCAGCCCGGGAGCAGCAGCGAGGACAACTCCAACCCCCAGGGAGGCAGTGGCACCTTCACTCATTGCCTCCCCCCCGCCCCCTCTGTCCCAAAGCAGCAGAGGGGCTTGGCTTAGAAAAGAAAGCAGGGCTTATAAAGGACAGATGCCCATCTCAACACCCCCCACAGCCAACACACAAACCCGGAAAACCATAGACAAATGTGACCTCTGGGGGAGGAAAAGAACTTTAAATAGAGTTTGAAATTGAAATGGAAACATAAATGAAATGAAGTCAAATATTACAAAAGACTGAAAAACCAAAATGACTCTACAGGTCCTGGTTACCTCAGGTTGAGTTCACCTACCAGTCTTTTACTATCCATTTAGAGCAGTGACTGCTCCCTCTTGCCTGAACCACGATTGAAGTGAGCCAGATCGTCCCTCACAGCTGGGTAACAAGACACACACATGTACCTATGTGCACACAGGTATGTGCACAAATGCACACACATGGATCTGCACATGTGGAATGAGTACAACAAACCTTTAATATTAGATAAAACTAATAGTCCTTTTTGATAAACAGATGGACATATAAATTCAACTTTATGGATCAAAGATAAGCTTATTTATAGACCACATAGGCAGTCACAGTGGGGGTGAATAAAAGGCAAAGAACATGCCAAGCATTTCGGAGGCAGGTGAGATGGGGTGTGTCACTGCAGCCTGCTTCCACCTACAAAATGTGGAGCTTGGCTTCATTGGTCTCTAGGGCCCCTTGCCACTCTCTGATTTTATAATCTGATATATACATCTTCGCTACAACACATTCTCTATTTCTCATGTTTTCTTTAGAGCACATAAAACTGTACTGCACTGAATCTTTCAAACCCCAAAAGAAGGCAAAGTTCCTTAGAACCTAGCCCTCCTCGGCCATTGACTGATCCAACTGGATCTCCTTGAGCAGCTCTCAGTTCTCCTGGCTACAGAATCTTTGAGTAATTAATTAAAACAAACAAATGTTAAATTACCAGTCATTATTTACAACAAACTAAATTTATGCTGAAAATCTTATTTCTTGGAAATTTCTCTTCAGAGTTAAAAACACAGAAACAATGTACTAAGGCAAAATTTAGCTTTTTATACAAATACAGAAATTGTAGAGAAAATTGGACACATTTACTCATTAAAACTGAAATCCATACCTCTGAATTATGTGCTGGCAATATCAGTGGGATTCTTGACTGCATTTCTCACCTTGAACCACGAGGGGTCTTGATTTGAGTTCTTTGACAGAGAGCAGAGCAAATGGCTGTGCAACAGAAAGTAAAGAGGCATTTTTTCCTGGTGTCCCAGACTTGTGGCAGAGGCTCAGACCAAGAACAAAGGCACTAAAGGATGTTTCTTGGTTAGAGATCTGATATCATCAGCCCTCAGTTGGAGCCTGTAGCCGGGCATGCAGGCTCACAGGCTGTTCCCAGAACCAACTTGACCTCAAAGGCATGCCACCTCCCTGTCACATTAGACATGAAGTGGGAAGAAGCCTGTCCTTTGGGAGAATGCAGTGCCCAAGGAGTCAGGCATTATTTACTCTCCGAAGTCAAGTGAGGCGGTTGCAAGGGAAGCCTTTTATTAAGATGGAGTGTCTGCAAGAAACTGGAGAGCAGTTCACTCCCTGGACCATGTCTGCTAAGCCCCAACTTGCTGCTCTACCCCCCATAGGGGACAAGAGAAGTGAACTGGGGCTGGAGAGGGGAGAGCAGCGGAGTGGCCCACACTTCTCCGTTGTCAGAGACAAGGGCACCAGGTCTCCTCGAAGATGGACCGGTCATCTCAGACAACAGCTGAGCTGAATGCTGTTTGGGGGCTGAGGGGTGTGGTGGAGGAGGCCTGGCAGGAGCAACCCCACCCCCTCCTCAGGGCAGCAGGGAGTGCCAGTGTGGGACAGCCTACAGCAGCAGCACCCGCAGGAGAGGCAGTGACCCCGGCCAGCCAGATGCAGGGAGGCGTGGGACTGGCAGCCTGGATCAGCCCGGGAGCAGCAGCGAGGACAACTCCAACCCCCAGGGAGGCAGTGGCACCTTCACTCATTGCCTCCCCCCCGCCCCCTCTGTCCCAAAGCAGCAGAGGGGCTTGGCTTAGAAAAGAAAGCAGGGCTTATAAAGGACAGATGCCCATCTCAACACCCCCCACAGCCAACACACAAACCCGGAAAACCATAGACAAATGTGACCTCTGGGGGAGGAAAAGAACTTTAAATAGAGTTTGAAATTGAAATGGAAACATAAATGAAATGAAGTCAAATATTACAAAAGACTGAAAAACCAAAATGACTCTACAGGTCCTGGTTACCTCAGGTTGAGTTCACCTACCAGTCTTTTACTATCCATTTAGAGCAGTGACTGCTCCCTCTTGCCTGAACCACGATTGAAGTGAGCCAGATCGTCCCTCACAGCTGGGTAACAAGACACACACATGTACCTATGTGCACACAGGTATGTGCACAAATGCACACACATGGATCTGCACATGTGGAATGAGTACAACAAACCTTTAATATTAGATAAAACTAATAGTCCTTTTTGATAAACAGATGGACATATAAATTCAACTTTATGGATCAAAGATAAGCTTATTTATAGACCACATAGGCAGTCACAGTGGGGGTGAATAAAAGGCAAAGAACATGCCAAGCATTTCGGAGGCAGGTGAGATGGGGTGTGTCACTGCAGCCTGCTTCCACCTACAAAATGTGGAGCTTGGCTTCATTGGTCTCTAGGGCCCCTTGCCACTCTCTGATTTTATAATCTGATATATACATCTTCGCTACAACACATTCTCTATTTCTCATGTTTTCTTTAGAGCACATAAAACTGTACTGCACTGAATCTTTCAAACCCCAAAAGAAGGCAAAGTAGACACTGGTGTGAGGATACTTGCAGCATCTAGAGAGGAAGGCATCACCTGCTCTAGACAGGTAGGTGTCCGCCTACCTCCCGCCTCCAGCCGCCTAAGCTTCAGAAGCATTTCACAGCCAATCACTTGAAATTTGGAGACCCAGTGTAGTGCAGGACTTACCAGTGTTACCCAGCTGTTGAGTGAGTTTGGAAGGCAGATTGGTTCTCCTAGGTGCCTGTCCAGAGCTGAAACTTAATCAGAGATACCCAAGCGTTACACAGGGTAGTGAGGATATCACTGCTCCAGGGGCTCCTTCCGCCATGATCTCATCCAAGCGCTAGGAAATCAGGTACTGTGATTGCCAGGGCCAGTGCCTCTCCCCGGGGCCATCTCGTTTGTTGTGTTTGTCTCCCCATGCCTTCCCTCCCTCCCCAGCTCTTCCCAACTCCTCCCAAGTTTAATATTTTCTGTAGCACCTTACAGGGGACAAAATGTTTTTGCCTGAGATCACATTATCTAAATTCCACCATAGTCCCATCCGGTGGTTAGGGACTAACCCCACTTTACAAGAGATGATGCTAGTAGGGAAGAAAGGGGCCCTCCCAATATGGCAAGGCTGGTGTTGAAATTAAGACAACAGGCCCAGAATGGAGTCACCTGTGCTAAGCCCCATGTCACCAAACCAAGCCTCAGTTACAGTTTTGGCTGTCCCCGAAATGGGAATTTTAACCACTCAGTCCAGAATCCCCAACTCAGCACCAGCGAGATCATCTGCCTGAAAGACCCCTGATGACCCCTAGAGGAAAGTGACTTCGCAATCACCAACCCAGGGTATTTTGCCTACTATATTGTTCTCATTCCTGATCTCTTCTGCCTATAAATGTCTTTCAGTTGCACAGCTCCTCCTCAGAGCTCCTTTGTATCTGCTAAATTGGGTGCTGATTTGAATTGATTTTTGCTCAAATAAACTCTTTTAAGTAAGTTTTTTGTAATATGTCTCAATTTATCTTTAACACTAGTAAATGGTAGATGCGAGGATGCATTCTCACTCTTTGCCGATCCTTCTTTGTCCTTCCCCATTCTTTAAGATTGTGATTTTTAAAGTAAGAACCTATGTTTTGTTATAGAAAACAGCATTTGTGCACTTAAAATAAAAATCCTGTTCGTCATGGGTTTTTGCTCTTTCCGCTCAGCTGCTTATAATTTGCCCTCTGAGATAACCTCACTGTTTTTATTCTAATTCACTTACAGCCACTGGAAAGGTGGATGTTTTGGTTCTTTTGTTGTTGTTCTATTTCCACTGACTCTTATAAGAGGTTCAAGAAACATTACTTGAATGAGTAAACAAGCCAACCTGTATAAAAAGCCAATATAGACTCTTCCACAGTTAGAAACATTGCCAAAGGCATTCCTTCTTGTGAAAAGTTATTTCTAAGTAAAATAGAATGACTCTAAAAGATTAACTTTAAACCTGATGAGAATTATGCTCTCTGTTGATCTTTTCCTTTTCCCCCTTCTTCAAGCCCTTGTGAGCAT